ATCTTTCTCCCGCGGAGCAGCTGGTAGTTTCGAACCGCTGACCTTATGGTTCACAGCCTGATTCGTAACCACTACGCTACCAGAGCTCCTAATAAGACTAAAAATAGGGATCCAAAAATAGGGATCCAAAAATACCCGTTTTCAGTAAAAACAACTATAAAACAGAAAAAGGGGAAAGTATAGTTACAGAATTTCAAAACGGTGAGGAATTTAAGTAGGTTTCTAGAAAAAACAGACTTTTTTACACTGAAGAAATTAATAAATAATAGGGTAACCTCAGAGAAAATTAATACACCTTCACATCAAATCAAGAAAAGGGGAAACCATGAGGATTTAGTAAAAATTAAAACAACAGCAATAAAGACATTGACAAGAAAACTCACACACAAAAATGAATTCAACACCAAATATTATTTGGAACAAAGAAACTAGCAGCACCACAAAAATAAAAAAATAAAAATTAAAAGAAAGACTGTAATGAATTCATACCTATCAATAATTACACTGAACATCAACGGATTGAATGCACCAGTCAAGACACTAAGAGTAGCAGAATGGACAAGAAAAAATTATCTTTAAATATGCTGTCTATAAGAGATATATACCTTACATACAAAGACAAAAATAGATTTTAAATCAAATGATGGAAAACAATATATCAAGCTAACAGCAATAAAAAACAAGCAAGAGTGGCAATGTTAATTTCTGATAAAATAGACTTTAAGGCAAAAACCAGCATAAGTGGCAAAAAAGGACACTAGCTCATGACTTAAAGGTTCAACTGAATAAGAGACAAAGCCATAATAAATATCTACTCTCCCAATGAAAGACCTTCAAAATATATAAAGCAAATTCTAATAGAATTAAGGAAAGAAATAGACAATGCTACAATAATAGTAGGAGATTTTTAATATACCACATTAGATGAAGCACAGAACAACTAAAAAGAAACTCAGCAAAGACACAGAAGAACTAAACAATACAATCGGTCAACTTAAACACATAGATTTATACAGAGCACTCAAACTAACAACAACACAATACACATTCTTTCCCAAGGGACGTTCCTAAGAATATATATCCTAATCCACAAAACAAGCCTCAATAAATTTAAAAACACTGAGATACTACAAAATGTCTTTTCAAATCCCAATGCTATAAAACTAAAAATAAACACAAACATCCAAAAAGAAGAACCAAAATTAACACATTAACACAATATCTCTAACAATTAGAAAATGACCAGCAGAGAAAGCTTACAGCCACCAGAAGAAAAGAAATAAGATAGATTAGAGCAGAAATAAATTTGAAAACAGAAAAAATCAACAAGACAAGAACTTGGTTCTTTGAGGGGATTAATAAAATGGAAAAACCGCTAGCAAATCTAACAAAAGAGAAGGAAGAGAAGATGCAAATAACACATATAAAAAACTATATGGATGGCGTTACATGAGAAACAACAAATAAAAAGGATAACAGAATACTATGAATAATTGTACTCCAACAAATTTGAAAATCAAGAAAACATGGATACATTTCTCGAAAATTATGACCTAGATAAACTAACACAGAATGAAAACAGAAAATTTAAACAAACCTACAACAAAAGAAGAAATTGATCAGGTCATTAAAAAATTCCCAACAACAACAGAAAAAAGCCCAGCCCCAGATGACTTCACCGGTTAATTCTTCCAAACATTCAGAGAGGAGTTGACACCAATTCTACTCAACCTAGTCCAGAACACAGAAAAAGATGGAAAACTCAAAAATGCATTTTATGTGATAATATATTTCTGAGTGTTTTTGTGTTCACGAAAAAATATATTTAAAAAAAAAACAACACAGGGAATAGAAGCAAATACTGTTGAATGGTGTCTGGATGGGTTGTAATTTTTGCAATGAAATGAAATACAGTAAGATAAGTGCAAAACCAATGTTCTCCCAAGTAAACTATCACTCAATTCACAATAAAAGCTTGAAAAAAAAAAAAAAAAAACTCTATAACTATATTTTAAAAATATATAAATAAAATACAATTAAAACTTAAAAAAAATTATAGACCAATATTCCTCATGAACATAGATGCAAAAATTCTCAAATATTTATAGCCAATGGAGTTCAAAAATATATCAAAAAATATATATATCATGACCAAGTGGGATTTGTACCAGGGATGCAAAGACATTTCAATATTAGAAAAACAATCATAGTAATCCACAACATAAATAAAACCAGGGAAAAGACCCACATGATCATATCAACTGATACAGAAAAGGCATATAACACAATCCAACATCTATTCCTGATAAATACACTCAATACAATACAAATAGAAGGCAAATTCCTCAACATAATTAAGAGCATATGTACAACTCCAACAGCCACCATTAATCCCAACAGACAGAAACTGAAAGCATTCACTTTTCTAACAGGAACCAGACAACGATATCTTTTCTTCTATGCAATATTGTGTTGGAAGTTTAAGGCAAAAAAGGGAAATTAAAGGCATCAAAATTGGCAAAGAAGCAGCAAAATTCTATTTGTAGAATCCTGAGAGCAGCTCTGGAAAACAAAAAGTTACCTATAAAGGAGAACCAAGAAGGCTAAACTCTGATTTATCAGCAGAAACCATGCAGACAAGGAGGCAATGGAATGGCATATACAAAACTCTGGAAGAAACAAATTGCCAGCCAAGAATCATACAAATACCCAGCCAAACTCACCCTAAAATATGGTGAAATGAGAATATTTCCTGATGAACAGAAATTAAAGGATCTTGTAATGACTTTACAAAAATGCTCTTTAGAATGAGAACCAACAACAGCACGCAAAACCCTGAGATTACCATACATGACAACATCACGCAGAACTCTATCCAGAATTTAAAAGTATTTAAAGTAAAACAAACCTACAAGACTGAAAATAGGGGACCAGAGATATCAGTGTGAAATGAAGTCAACTACAAAGCAAAAAGGGGAATAGTGTAGATACAGAACTTCCAAATGGCAAGGAAGTCAAATACTTTTCAAGATAAAACAGCCCATTTTAAGCAGGGAAAAAATTAATAAATTACATGGTAACCTCAAAGAAAAATAATATATCTGCACATCTAAATAAAAAAAGAGGAAATCAGAAAGATTTAATAAACATTAACAAAACAGAAATGAAAATGAAAAGAAAACCCAAAAACAAAATTAACTCAGCATACAAAATTATATGGAACAAAGAATCCAGTAGCACCACACCAAAAACAAAAACAAAAAAACCTCGCAGAAAAAA